CTTCAGGAGTGTGCTTCAGGATTTTTTCATTTTATGTTGTGTTTGACTTGGCCTCCATATTAATCTGAAAACTCACATGTAAAAATAATAGACCTTAAGTGAGACAGGGCATGGATGCAACTGCAGCATTTTATCATGAACATCCTAGTCAGAATTTTCAAAATATTGATTTGTCTCTCCTTATCCTGTGGGTAAGGACTTTCTGGATGTGTCATTCTGCCTTCCATGAGCACAGAGGTTGGTATCACTGTGGCTGTTGCTGCCACTTCCTTAGCACCTTTGTCTTACAGATTTCACAGCCCTTTACCCCAGGCCTTTGCTTTGGGATCATCTGAACCTGATCCTGTGGTCCTTAGTTTGTTAACTTTTCTTCCTCTGCTGCCTTCAGGGTGAATTGGTTGGTTGGCTTGTTTGGTTTTTGTCACAATGCAAGGCTCAGTAGGAAGTTAATTGTCTGTCAGATGTACTATAGATTTTAGTATTGATCACATTGTGCAGTAACAGTAGGATGTCAAATTTAATTTTAAGCTCTTTAATGTTGTTTCACTGGGGATGGCTGTTAAGTGATGTACCCTTACCGATATATCATACCCTGGGTCTTGTTTTGGTGTTATTAGACTTTGGACATTCCTTAAAGTTTAACTGCTTCCTGGTGTTAAAGCAGTTTGAAAACTTACTTAATTTCTTTGTGAGTAGATTGCTATGTCCTGTGTGGTAAATTGTTACATGTTAACTTTGACTTGTTGCTGTAACGTTATATGTTTTCCCTGTCGTCAGATGCAGGTACAACTCTACCTGTTCTGTGGCAGAGTGAGATGTGCTCTCTGCATCTCAGACTTGTCAGGGAAATGACTAGACATGGCTGAAGGTCTATGCTGCAGGCATCTGTCTATAGCAGGGTCTCTAACTAGACCACCCTGAATGCAGACATAGAAGGAAGCAAAACCCTATTGTCTGTGGTGCTCCAAATAGGTGACATTCAAATCTGCTGTGTGTGGATGAGAGCCATTTTGTGCTGAACCTCTGTATCACTAACTGTAATGACTTCTAGATGTTCATCTTGCATCTTCTTTCTCACAATCAGTTACTACAGTTCAGATGTTCTCTATTTTGGTTTTGAGTACACTGGAAAATCTTTGAGCTATCTTCTGTGCTTGTATCCTCAGACTTCATAGTTCTGCTTTATATTTTGATATTTTGTTACTAGCATATTGTTTCCTCCTGTTTGGATGGTAATTATTTGTAAGTACAAACAACTTGTATAGCTGCACACGGTATATTTCTTCAAGTTGACCATACAAATTTGGCTGTTAAAATATAAACTACTTTCAGCTTGTATGAAGAAATATCCTAGGAATGAGGAGTACAGATAAGTATCTGAATTAACCTATTTGAAAGGCTGTCTGTTTTGTCCCATTCTAGTTTTCTTTATGTGATCCACTGTATATTTAATATTTGAAACTTCATTGGTAATAATACCTTCTATTGAATACTTTTTTCACAATGTTTTCACTTTTCTCTCTGTAGGTGGAAGAAATTGTTGATATAGGAGCATTTGCCCCAGAAGACATTCATGTTCCCAAAATCTACGTTGATCGCTTGTTACAAGGAGAGAAGTTTGAGAAGAGAATTGAAGTAAGTGGCTGAGCTTCTTGGCAATGATATATTTCCTCTTGGGGTGTATTTGAAATTTACAGGATTTTTACTCTAGCCACCAAGTCTTAACAATGAGAAAATAGTGTGAGAAACATCAATCAAGTTTTGCAAAGTACTGGAGCTCAGGTGGGTACTTAGGTAGTTAGTAGTTAGGGTGGGCCTGAAAACTGAGCCTTGTTTCATAGACCTCAGACTCTGTGTGCCAGTCCCTGAATAATTCAGAGCAACTGCCTGTAGTTCTGGATAACTTTAACACAGTCGAAAATTTGGTGGGAAATGCTGTTTCACTTTCCTTTCTTCTTGCAGTTCACCTGCTGTAGACACAAGGGGAACACCCAGACTAAGAGCTGACTTTGACAATTAGGTACTTTCTTGTCCACTGTGAGTCTTTTGACATGGGCATGTAAGAACAGTCTGAGCCCCTTTTGAGTTACGTTATGTTGCAAAGGACCTGGAAAGCTTTGTTTCCTTCACTTTAATCAGGAATGTTTTTAGCCAGTGGCCCTTCTGGTCTCAGTAAAAGATGTCAATAGCTATTAAAAATTACAGCTATAATACTCCACCACTGAAAATATCCAAGAAAATGATGATTATGTAATTGTTCCTTGTTTCTGTGGCTTTGCCACACTCAAGCTATGTCCCTATATTTGTTCTGGTGATGTGACAATGCTTTTAATGTGCAGTGGAAAATTCTGTATTTTTCCTGTGTCTCCATGCTCTGGAGGTGGGAATTGTTCAAAATTTCATTAGAAGAGCTGGTGTACGGGGAGATATATGACACAAGGGGGAAAACATCTTGAAAAAGAAGTGCAGAAAGGAACTGTAATAATTAAACTTTTAAAATCAAGTCACAAAGTCCTTGAAAGTCATTCAAGGCCTTTCTCTGAGTAAACTCCTATGTGAATGTTAAGGTTAAAAAGTTTTTTCTTTCCATCTGTTCATTCTACAAAAGCATATTGCATGTTGTTGAGTATTTGACTTCAAACAGATGTGTCAAACCCCTTTTTTTGTAACTCCCCTCTGGGCATGTTTGGTTAGATTGCAATTATTGGCCTGTTTGCTTCTTCTGAATGGATGCATTATCTGACAGAAAAGCTTTTACCTTTGATGACAGAAATCCTTTTTGCATTTATTAAACTGTTTCTCTTACTGCATCTTGGCTGCATAAGCAAAAGCACCTGCCTAGTCGCCTGCCCCCTTCCTTATATGCTAAAGGCAAAATAAGGCTGGGGGAGAAAGCGATAAACTGCCAAGCAAAGTTGTAACAGAGATTAATTTTGGTTGTGCAATTTTGTAATTCTGGCAGTAGCACCTCTCATTGCTAGAGGTATAGGAAGGAAACGGCAGATGTATTTACTCTTCCATTAAATTTTATATATGAAGAGGCTGTGTGTGTTAAAGTGTTGAGTATGATAAGTGGTGAGAGAAGATGAGGAGTAAAGGAAATGATGAGAAGCTAGTCTGTCATAATTCTTACTGGCTTTAAATAACAAGTCCTACCTAGGGTTCAGAAGTGGTCCCTCTATTGCAAGTCATGTTTTCTATCCAGCTTTCTCTGTAGTTCTTCTTACTTTTGCCATGATCTGCAAGTGAAGCAATTCTTGGGAAAATAACCAATGTGTAAAAAGAAAGTTGTTGGGAAATTCAAGAAGATCGATACTGACAGTTTCTGTCTGCCTAAGAGGAAAGTGACTCTGCAAAAATTCTTTTGTGGTGATGAAAAGGAGCAAAGGATAATTTTTCCTGATGTGCTGATTGTACCCTGAAGTAGGAGAGGATGTGAAGACATATGGGGGTGCAGGACATTATGTTGCCCAGAGGAGTTTTATGTGTGTGGGAGAGATGTGCAAATAGCATTGTCTGTGTAAACAATAATTTACAAAAAAGGTGTTACAAACTTCTTGAATGTCATGGCATTTTCACCTGCATGTGATTTACAAAACATCAGCAAGGCCAGAAACTTTCAGGAAACAACTTCAGGTAGATGTATGCAAGATTATAGAGATTTATGTTTGAAAACTTCCTTTCTTAGCTCCCACCATCTTTAGATGAATATCATTTGTCTGTCTCATGCTTATAAATCTAGAATAGCTCATTGAGTTGAATGAATGCAGAAAGAGAGCAGTATTTGTATTTTGGGCTGACATTTTACAAATCTATTTAGGTATCTCTGGGGTAATGAATCTCAGACTGGCTAGTATTTGCACTAAAGCTTGGTGCCTTCTTCACCACTTGTCTAAGTATCAGCCTTGGCAATACAAAGAAAAAACAGTTTGCTTTAAGGCTGTCACTGGCGATATTTGATGGCTCCATTGGTTTAGATAAGCTTGAATGGATCAAATAAAAGGTCATTTTTTTGTAGAAGATGGATAAATAGCTTTATTCTTAGACCAAGTATCTCAGTGCAATCACAAATCAGGCTTTTGTGTCTTGAGAAGCAAGAATCTGGATTCTAATCTTTACTGATGATTACTTCTTATTTTGCAGCGCTTATCAATTCGAAAACCTGAAGACTCGAAAGCCAAGCAAAAACAAGGCGACAATGTGAGGGAGAGGATCATCAGACGGGCTGCTTTAGAGTTTGAGGATGGCATGTATGGTATCCTTCAGCCATGCTCTAGCTAAAATTGACAACTGACCAGAGTAACAGGTGCAGCTGGTTTGTTTAGGACAGGTTAATTAAGAAGCTCATTGTCTTTCCTGGCCCCTGTGATTCTCTCATTTTATTAACACTTGATTGAAATGGGAGGGATGCTACGACACAGGGTACCTCAAGGTTTTATCCAGGCGTATCTGGAGGGTTTGTTAGCAGTTGAACATTTTGCAAGGATTTCGTGAAAAAAGATGGCGATGAACCTTTATTTGCACTATAATTTTTTTTCATGTAAAGGATTTGACAGAATGCAATTAGACAGTCCAAATGGCAGACTAATTCATCACAAATGTGAGGCATCTAAGTAAAAATTAAAGTGTTTGTGAAGAGAACAGTTCTAATCTAATCATAGTACAAAGGTAACCTTTTTTTAATTTGCTGATTTGCAGTAGTGTTTGTGCCTTAACCACTTCTTTTCAGCTAATCTGGGTATTGGAATCCCACTCTTGGCCAGTAACTTCATCAGTCCAGACATAACTGTTCACTTACAGAGTGAAAATGGAGTCCTAGGCTTGGTAAGAATATGTCTTGGTCACTTACTACAGTGTTTTTATCTTGCAGTGGCTGGGTTTTATTCTCTGCCAAACTCCAGCCGGATTATAATAAAAAATCATATTCAGATTTGTGCCATATTACATAATCATAAAATTCTTATTGTACTGCTGGAAAGCTTTAAAGGATATGCTCATGTTACAATTATAATGCTACTTTGCTAAGGGTGTTCTTAAGAACATGTTTGATTGGAGTCAGAACCTTTAGTAGTTTGCAAGACCCAACCTTTGTAAGCCTTATCAAGCATAACTGTAAATAAAGCTTAAAATGGATATTATTTTCACTGTCATATGTCTTCATGAAGTTGCAGTTATATGCCCTTTTCAGAAAAATGTCTGTCACTTTGGTTAAGAACAAGAAAACCTTAAATCAAACAAACCCCCAACTTTTTGGTTGTTTAGTAATTCTAACAGCCTCTAACAGTATATCCATCAGTCCTGATATATTAGTTGATGTAAGTTATGGCTTGTATTGTCAGGATTTCTTTCTGCATGTCTGTGATGCTCTGTTTTCAGTAAGAAGCATTAGAAACAATGAAGCAGTTATGAATTGTGTTTCAAAGGTATTTTAATACAAAGCTGACATTCATCTTTATTGTTCTCAGGGTCCTTATCCACTTGAAAGTGAAGTAGATCCAGACCTGATCAATGCAGGTAAAATGTTTTAATTAAATTCAATTCATAGGAAATGATTATTCATTGTTAATCTAGAAATTTTGCTTTGATACAGTATTTGAACTCAGGCTCTTGTTTTATTTGTTAATGAATATTAATGTTTCTTTTAAGTGAAGGTTGATTTTGATCAATTGAGATGTTTAACATTCTAGTTAGAGAGCTTATGCTTTGATGCATTTTAATAGCTGCTAAAGGAAACTCTCTTCCAGGCCAGTCAGTAAGGGTCAAATCATCCTTTTCAGAAGTGAGATTGTTTTATGCAGCCTATATGGGAGTATGAGTTTGTTTTCCTGCTGCTTTTCACCTTCTGTCTTCTAGAAAATGGTTTTCAAAGATTTATGTTTAGGACAAGCCTTAAAATATCCTGTGTATAATGGCCTGGTTTATTCCTGGCCAGGAGCGCAACTCGTTTGCATTCAGAGAGGGAGCAGTAGCCAAAGCAGGGGATAAGAGCTCCCCAGATGGGACTTAGCATGCTGGGGGGCTCTGCTGTGGGCAGCTGCTTTTGCCACATTAGGGGTGAATTACAGTTCTCACATACTGTTCTTGCCCGGCTGTTTTGGGGCATTTCATCTTAGAAGTAGCCATGCAGTGTAAAAATTTAAGCTTTTTATGATTTAGTGCATCTGTCTGATTTCTTTATTTCTTTGTGGAAAGTTGTGCCTGTGTATATTATCTGTTTCCATGTAGAATTGTACTTACATGTTGCATTGTGGCAAACAGAAGGCACTCTTGGCACATTCTCATCGATGTTAATGGTATAGATTATAGACTTGACATCTCACAGTTGTCTTTTCATATGGAAAACATGTATTTTACATTTTTTATTCATGTATACATATACACATATACATGTATGAGTGTGTATGTATGAATCTATATAGACAGTACCTTTCTCAACAGCTGTTGTTTACAGTTAAGTACAATTTAAGTACAGTTAAACTCTGAAAAGTCGAAGGTAAAGCACTGACATCAAGCAAGCTTTCAGTTTAAGTAGCAGGGTGCTGTCCAGCCATTGTTCACTGACTTGAGGCATTTTCTGCCTGGCTCAACTAATTGATAACATTATCACAGTGCTGTGTTACTGCCTCTGTTGCAGTACTGTGTTTTAAATATGGAGTTATTTGAGGCCATCTTCTGGTTTGAAATAAAAAATGATTAAGAAATTGATTTGACAGCATTTCACCTGTAGCTACATAACTGTTTGGATACACTGTATAAAGGAACATGTCAGAAGTGTCACTGGAATGAAAAATTTTTTAGAAGGAAAAAAATACTACAAAAGGCAAAATTATGTGCATGCATATTAGAACTCAAGTTTTAATATGGGTGCATATGACAAATGAATGTGTTAACAGAGTGACAATGGAAAAATATCCAAGAACTTCATAAATACTCTGGACAATCATGATGCTTTAATATGAAAGTCAAGATTATTTTGAATTGTTCTTTATGATTGATTTTTTTAAAAAGAGATAATCTGGAAGGGATGAAGTTAATTTAAGAGGTCAGAATGCAACATAGAAATCAGATTATTCTAGTATTGGTAATTCAGTTTTAAGCAGCTTCACATCTTCCTCTGAAGCTGCAGTAAACAAGACCTGAGATAGGTGAACCTCAGACCTACCACCAAAATAATTATTGTTGTAGTTGCTGAAACATTCAGGAACTGTTAAATCCCACTAATACGGTTGGATTAGGACCATTCTAGGTGCTTTTTGGCCAAATTTATAAGATCATTTGAAGAAAACAGAAGCTAAATGGCAGAGGCATAGAAATAAATTCTGTTCTCATTCATCAGCTGGGATGATCCAGTATCAGCCCCGAAGTCCACATTTTCAAAACATACACCTCCTTTGGGCTTTTACCAGATTCTTTCAGAAAATGTAATTGTATTACTCTGAAATACGTGTGGGGTTTTTTTGTCCCGTTTTCTTAATGTCTCACAGGAAGTTTTTATCCTTACTGCAATTGAAAGGTAGATTTCTGTCTTGCAGCAGTAACGTTTAAAAGTACTGACCCCTTGAAAGCATTTCAATAAGGGGGTAATGTGGTGCTTTTTTTACATTATTCTGTGGTCCTAAGCCTGTGTCTTTTTCTTCTCGTCATTGCCTTAGGTTGTCAGTTTATCCCAGGGTTCTTGCTCCATGTTGTTGCTTGCAGGCCATGTTGTCTCTCCCACTGCCTTGGGTGGGGTACCTGGTAGGGAAGGACAACTCAGGTAGTCCCAGCAGGTCTGGGTGTTAGCATGGTGAATGCTTGTGATGTGCCCACTCGTATGACCTTAGTTCTGTACTATTTTGTGTGTCGAAATTTAATTTCCATGCAATTGGCATATAATGTACATCAAGTGAGATTTACATCGAGATTCCTGTTAGATGCTAGGAAAATATTTTTCTGTGTTAGAGTGGTCAGGAATTGGAATAGAATGTTCGGGGAGGTGGCGGAGTCACTATCCCTGGAAGTGTTTAAGAGATGTCTCGATCTGACACTGGAGGATATGGTTTAGGGGTTACAGCAGAGTGACAGCTAATGGTTGGAATTGATGATCTTAGCGGTCTCCTCCAAACTCAATGATTATAAGTGAATTCAATAAATTAAAGCAGGTAGCTTAGATCTCTATTTTAAGTTTAGTACACTGTTTTCTTCCCTTTTCCCATTCTCTTAGTTAATCTCAATGTCTTTTTTCCTCTGTTTTCTGGAAACTGTTTAATTTCCATTTCCCCTTGTTACACTTACATTCTCTTTACAATGTCATCTGTTGTTAAAATAATTTGTTCTGGTTTGGTTTTTTCTCTGAAGTTCCCATGCTTGGTCTGTAATTTCACCTCTGTCTGTGTTTCTTATGCCTTTTCAGAGGCACTCTGTATACATGGTTGTTGCTTAAACTGATTTAAAGAACTGGCAGGAGAGGAAGGAGAAGGCCCTGGACTGAGACAAAATGAGATTGGTGTGCTTCATTGCTTGACCCAAGCTTTTTTCGAAGAACAATACAGCACACAGAAGCACATTTTCTTGTACGCTTTAACAAAGGAAGAAAGGACTAGATCTGTCATTTATTTTTCTGTATTCTACATCATTAGCCCTTTAAACTGTTCTGTATCTGTTCTGCTTTTCTTCCTTGCAACCTCCCTGTCTCCTGAAGGCTGACTGTCTGTTTCAAAAGAGAGCTGCTTCTTGCTTTTTCTGTAAGTGGAGCCGAAAGCTGAAGCCCACAGATATTTCTTAGACTCTGGTATTAGTGATGCCTGGAACTGCTGGTGGTCAAAGTGCAGCAATCATATCATTAAAAACTGTAACAAACTGCATCACAATTCAATATGATTGATTAGGTTTACATGTGATATAGTAAGAGTAGGCAGGTCCATAGCTGTACAGAATCCAAAGGAACTTTATAAAACCCTATTATTTCTTGGTTAACAGCTGTGTCTTCGTTTGTCAGAGACAAAATACATACATACTGTAGCTTATTTCTTTTACAGGTAAGGAGACAGTCACTGTTCTTCCAGGTTCTTCCTATTTCTCTAGCGATGAGTCATTTGCAATGATAAGAGGGTACGTAACAATGCAAACCCTGATCTTTTTGAAACAGGAAAAGAATTAACTGAGTCAGTGACTGAACTCATTAGTATTTCTTTCAAATGTGGTTAGCATTTAACAGTCTGTAAAATTATCATGGACTTAATCAGTGATGCTTTACAGAGGATTAGGTCTAGCTATTGGAAATAAAAAAGGACTGTAACTAATAGACACCATAGTGATGGTCGTGTCTACCACCACCTGGACATATATAAACACATTTATAACTGTGTTTTAACAACTCCTTTTTGGTCATTTCCAACTGTCTAATCTGTACTTGCACTCTGTATATTTTCTTTGCTCAGCTTGCAACTGTGATCCTCATTCCACCTCCTTAATGGAAATTCATCATCTGCACCTGTTTTTTGTTTGGTTTTCAGAAAGGAGGCTGGACGCAAACAAACACTAAATCCTAATGGCTCTGAAAAGATAATGAGTGCATGTAAATATGTGAAGGAGTGCATTTTAAAGTATGAGTTCAGAGCTGATTCACTGTGCATGCAATTAACCAAAACAGACAAAAGTAGTAACATTTTTGTGGCTCTGTAGGCATAAAGAGAAATTTGTATGTGGTATATCTACAGAGGGGAAAAACCTGCAACTGCACGTGTGACAAAATGGTTGCTACCTCTGTCGTGTGCCACCATTTTAAACTGATGTAATGAGAATATGAACAAAAGCTTGTTGAGATTTGTGGGCTGTTACTTGAACATGATATGCTAATTACACACTTTCTCTTGCCAGAGGCCATGTTGATTTGACAATGCTTGGAGCTATGCAGGTGTCTAAGTACGGTGACCTTGCCAACTGGATGATTCCTGTAAGTAGGTTTTTGAACTACTGTCAGTGCACTGTGTTCAGGATAAGAAAAATGTAGCTGAGGGTCAGGCAAAGGAGTAAAGGGCAGAAGTAGAATGGGGGTTGTGACACTCAAAGCATTGAAATGGAGGCTGTGTACATTTTTCTTGAATATTGCCGGCACCAAGCAATCCATAATTAGGAGTCAGCCCTGAAATTATGCTTGTGCTAAGCATTGTGAAAAGCAAAACATGATTTATGCAAGCATTTTTCCTTCCTCTTGGGCCCCTGCCTTTCAAATGTCACTTTTTGCTGAGGACTGATGCTTTTTCTTGAGAATGACAACTCTTGGATTACTTGCATACCTGGAGCAGTGACTTGAAAGAAAGTCTAAAATAGCATGTAGCTCATTATAAAATAATAATAAAAATGTCTGCATTAATTTTCTCAGTGTTCCTGTCAAAGGATCGGCATTGCCCTTTTGAATACATTAATAAAGAAGCAATACTACTTTATTTAGCCAAACTGACCTGTAGGTTTCTGCCATAGAAATATAAACTAATTCTAGTATTATTTCATCAGATGATGACATTAAACCATTCCTTGAGCACACTCTATGTTTTAACATTAAACAACATCCATAACTTTCATACTGTTACCAAGTTTGAGATTTTCAGTGGCTTTCAATATGGTACTTTCTGATATGAATTGATATGATAGATATGATGTGATAGAAATTGCATGCTTACATAGTGACTTTTAAAAATTACTCTAAATTATTACATTCTCTATCAAAATTTTGAAGATAGACTAGAAAAATTATTTAAAGTTAAGTTACTGGTAAATAGTATTTAGAAATTTTCTTACAGGGCACTGTTCAAGATGGTTTTAATCTATACGTCTCTTTATTTCAATTGTCAGATAAATTCTAGGCTTTTTGCAAAATACAACTCACTATATCAATGTGTCCCTAGGCTATACTTTGTATTCAGGACCTCTTAACTTCTATGATTTTCTTCTTTGACAACCCTTTGATCCTGCTTTACCTGCACCTGGTAAAGCCTTCTGTTTATCCGAGTTGTGGGTGGAATTTTAGGTAGGAAGAAGTGCTTTGTTTGATTTTTCATTGCTTTTGTAAATTGAAGTGGCAAAAGAAGTATTCTTCAAAATATCTGTGTGAACAAGTAATAAATACAAATTCCTGCTCTAAAGTAGTTGTAGTAAACGCTCAAAAATGCACCTCCAGTGATAGCTCATGAAGCTGAAATGTTTGGAAGGAGGTACTCTTGAATAATCAGTGGATAGATTTTAATGCCAAAAAAATCCCAGTTATTTCAACTGACCTTATTGGTATTTCAGGACACAAAATTTCATGAAGTTGCATCTGTGCTGAATCTAACAGCTATTCACTAGAGCAGTCATTCTTGAAAAGCAATGTTGTGAGCTGGAGCAATTCACCACCTGTTTTCTTGCTTGGTTTAATTTACTTGGGGTGTTGTGGGTTTTTTTTTCAGCTTTATTTTTATTTTGAATTCCACTCCCATTGGCTTTTCCTAGGACTATCCTGCTATGTGCCAAGGCTTTTTAGCAAGTAGTGTTCAGGGTTGTTACTCAAACTTGCAGTAAAAATCAACATGTATCACCATTTTCTCATGCCAACTTTTGGATGTTTTCACAGTTCTGTCTTGATTAGTCATGCATAACGAGCCTTTTCTATACTTTCTATATTATATTTCATACAAATGAGTATGTTTTGATGTTTTTAAAACATTGAATAAAGACGTTTATTTTCATTCATAGTACATAGACAGTTATCTTTAGAAGAAGAGGTGAAAATTCAACTTTTGCAATAGGGAGATGAACTTTAAAATCAAGCTATTTTCCCAATATATTTAGCTGAGAGTCCAGAGTTTGTTTGATTCCTGTTAGCAGCAGTTTCTAAATACATGTATCACAATTAGAGAATATATATGAGGGTTTTTTTCACCTTCCTAGAAACATATATGTTGAAGAAAAACATCTAACAGTCTGAACTGCTTCTAAAAACTCGACTTTAGCTTTTGTCCTAGACTTAGGCTGAACAAAAGCACAGCCATCAGAGGTACTGCAGGCAGAAATAATACTTAAAATACCATATAGTGTTTTCAGGGGCGAAGTAACATTCTCTGTTCCAGTAGCTTCATGCACTTTCTTTCATAATACTTTTTGCCATACAGAAGTTAAACTGATTTTACTGATCATGATGTTGAAATTCTTTCAGTGAAAGTTTAGTGACTTGTCTTTCAAGAGCTGAACTGTCAAAAGATGATGGCAGCATTTTATACTAATAAATTCATTCGCATGTATATTTCTTGAAATGTTGAAGCTTAGATTGATTATAATAAAAGTTTTTCTCAAAACTGTGCAGATTAACATATTACTTCCCTTGGTGCTTTATTTTCTCTAGAAAATGCTGATTTTACTTCTGCATCAATATTTATCAAGAATATTATACATTGCTTATTTTACCTATGAGGATGCCTCTCCCTTCTTTTCAACCCCAAATTTATGAATAATGGGTATGTTTTCAAAACAGGAAAGTAAAAAATGCAGCTTTGAACATTGTTTGTCTTTTCGTTACCTTTGATGTGTACCTTATTACTACATGCTACAGCATACACAACATAGGCCCCTGTGTGTTTTTGTTGGCTTCATTTTCCACTCTTACTATCCTTTGGCGTTCTGCAAATTTCTTATGCAGTAAGTTTGTATTTACTTATGAGTACATATGCCCAACGACGCTCCATAAATGCATCCAGGAGCCTTTCCAATCAGCTGTAATTTCTCTTCAGTTACTTGTATTAAGATCTGTTAGATGGATGATTGTTAATCTGCTTTTTGATGTGTTACTACTGTTCTACAGTACAGATCTTTAAAATGGGCTTAACTAGCCCATAAATATTCAGATCTTCCTGCTTTTCCTATAAATAAGATGATGTATTATTGTCAGTTAAATTTAATAATGAGCATGATGTACCTCTTTTTTTAGCCACAAGATTTGTGTGGGGCGATACAAAGATCAGCTTTGCTGGAACCTCATACTGTAAGGGAAACTCTAAACTGTATTTTATGGTAACATTTTTCACTTTGGTTTAGCTTTGATTAAGTATTTCTTATACACTGTAGCTTTGGGGCTTGTGCATTGATGGTATTTGCCATTTTTTCAGAGGAAAGTAATAACACCATGCATTTTGAATAAGTACCATCATGAAGCAATCCTTTCTGTCCCATAAGAGCTCGATAACACTTGAGCCCTAATGCATGCATGTGTATATTTACTTGTACTTATTATTAGAAACTGAGCTAAGGAAGGTTCATTGCAATAATTACAGCCCTTTCTTTGCTCTTATCTTCTGATTTTTAATGGATAGGAAAATCCTGTGAGTAAAGGAAGAAGAGGGTGTGAATATTTTAAACCCATGCAGTAAGCAGTGCTGTTTGCTTAGGCAGAAGTTACTTCCTAAATAGTGGCATTTGTTGGTAATTTTATTCCATTAAGCACTACTACTTAATGGCTTTTCGTCTTCCTCCCTTTGGTATTTCTCCAGCTAACAAGATGCTTTCTGAAGAGGAAAACAGAGAAGGAGGTACCAAATTTCTGTGAAGCCCCTGGGAACAGAGTGCAGTTGGGAGAAGTTGGCCAAGGGAGGTGGAAGAGAAATGCTGAGGACACGGTCATAGGTTAGGGCAGACAGGCCAGAACAGATAGCCCATGCCTGCTGAAAGCTACTGGATGGAGCCACATTTCACTTCCTGACTGCTGGACACAGTATCTAACCTATCTGTGTGCCTCCAGAAAATATAAGAAATTGCTGCTAGCAGGGCAGCTCCACAGCATCTACAGAGCAGCAGCAGCATTGTGCCTGTTGCAGCAGTCCTGGCTCCTGTGGCAGTTTAAATTAATTGCCTCACATGGGTTTGTAAAAGTTGTGGGATTGACTGCACATATCCCTGTATGTACTTCTTTATTTGTAGTTCCATTCTACTGGTGTCTCTTTGAGACCCTCAGAATAGAACATTTATGACACAGTTTCTGCTGCCCTTCTGGTGTCTACAGCTTACTATTTTAAGTACAGCTGCATTTTCCCCATCCTTCCTAATAGAAAGCACATGTCTGTGGTTGCTGTTGTGACATGTACTAGAGATTTGACACAGGTCAGAACAAAACACCAGAACTTTTGTCATGTTTCCCTGAGACACTAAGGCCTCTGTCTTTTTAATACGTGTTTCTGAACATCCCTTAATATTAAACAACACTAATAACATAAGTAGTGATACAGCTGATGTGCTGTACCAGCAGGAAAACCATTAAAAAAATGATGGAGGGGCTCTGTAGTGGGAAGTTGTTGAATCTGAAAGCACAAATGATGTCTGTGACTTCAGATTTCAGTCAGCAGAAACTTATTACAGGTAAAAAATATGATTATGCAGTATATCATTAATGAGAGGGTAATATACTCAGGAGGACTAGAAGGATGTCTTAAGGTTATGCAGAGAGAATATTAGAAGGGCCAAAGCCCAGCTAGAACTTAATATGGCTGCTGCTGTAAAAGACAATAAAAAGTGTTTCTATAAATAGATTAACAACTGAGGGAGCTGGTGGAAGTGTTCATTGAGCCACTTTCCATTGTTTACCAGCAGTCCTGGTTAACCTGGGAGGTCCCAGGTTACTGAAGCTTGGCAGGATGACACCTGCCTACAGAACGGCCAGAAGGAGGATCCAGGGAGTTACATGTCTGTCAGCATGACCTCACTGCCAGGGAAGGTTATGGAGTAGATCATCCTGAGTGCCATCACATGGCACATACAGGACAATCAGGGGATCACGCCCAGCCAGCGTCGGTTTATGCCCAAAGATGACACCCACTTGGGTGGGAGTGTTGATCTGCTGGAATGGAGAAAGGCTCTGCAGAGGGATCTGAACAGACTGGATCTGAGCCAAGGCCGATTACGTGAGGTTCAGTAAGGTAAAGTACAGGATCC